AGTCGTAAAATTTTGTTGAATTAATTTAATACGGTGGCTATAGGCCGACGGCGTTGGGCGCGTAAATCGAAAAAAGGCGCAAAAAACAAATGAGCTCGAATTGAGCTCGAATCGAGCACGAATCGCTGTCGACAAATTTGGAAATGTGGAGTTTTGTTCCGCCACTACCAAGGAAACTCCTGCCATTAAAGGCTTATACAGTTTTGGGAATTTTAACTATTAGGAGACTATTGCTGTGTTATCGTCCTCCATCTCTAAACTGAGTGAGTTTCATCTCTTGGGTTCCTTACTGCATTTCAGGTAGTGACTCGCCATCACCTTCAGCCGACCGACTCTGGGTCTATGAGACTTTTGCTAGTACGAGATCAAGTGAACTCCTCTTGGAGGGCTGGCGAGCCGAGCGTGAACTTCTTCTTGGTCTGACCTGCCCAACTAAAGAATGTTTCACAGAATTCGCTCGAACTGGCTTCTCCTCCAGGAGCCCCTTTGCCAAGGAGGCTCGCCAACGTCTCTCCAACCGTGTGCGCAAGTGGTTTGGCGAAACGCTATCCGATTCTCCCAGTTCACCAACCCAACCACCAGAGTAAGCCCCAACTGATCCCATGCCTTGAAGTGTATCTCTTGACCTGTTTTGCTGTTCAGCAGGCCACGAGCGTGTATGAGGGTTAGGAGATAGTGAAACCAATGCTGAGGTGTCCTCCTTTATCCCATTGTAGTGCATTCATCATGATAAGAAATCTAAATAAATATAGAAATTTTACATATTTTAAGTGCCCCGAGGGTAGTATCAAAACTAAGAAGAAGAAGAAGAAGACTGGTCGAGCGCCGGAACGATTTGTTCAGTATTCTGAGCCTTCAAACTCTCTGTGTTGTAACGGTAGCCAAGGCCGAGATGTCACCACCTAATCAAGTCTTGTGTGAGCCCCCAAGCAAGAACACGACAAAAAGAGAACAAAAACAGAAGTCTTTGAGCGTAATTAGTAGAACAGATTTAAGGTAACAAACGCGTGTAAAGCTATGTCCATCGACCCAATCAGCTTCTGTTCTGGCATGGGTAGCGGTAGCGGTACGATTGGTTTGTGACTCAACGGCTAACTGCAGCTTAAATTTTGAATTATTGATTGATTGACTGCCAGTCTGCGTTTGCCTTGTGTAGGCCGATCGATAGCCTACTGTAGGTGCGGCTTGCTGCCTGTATGCTAGCCGTCTGTTAGGCTCCGCCTAACACTGTGGAAGTTAACCGTCACAAGAAGTAACAAAAACAGAAAATAATACACTTATAAGGGGTATCGGCATTCTGGAATTGAGGCACATTCTGGAATTCCGCCATGGCTACCAGCCACCGACGGCCGTCTGCTTTGTCGATTTCGCCACTGCGTTCGATTCCGTCTATCGTGATTCCCTGTGGCGAATGATGGAACTAGATGGAGTAGGGACCAATATCCTTGCCATGATCATGTCCTATCACCATTTAACCACCGCGCGAATTCTGGTGCACACCAATCCCTCCCAACCGTCCGATATCCAATCTCGTGTTCGACAAGGCTGTGTCCTGCCGCCTATTCTGTGGAGTTTCCATCCGGACGCCGATTAACTGACCTTGCCTACGCCGACGAAATCACCCATCTAGTCTCAGTCTTTAATGATCTACAGTCGGTAGTGTCACGGCTGAAGGAGATCCCTAGGTCGGTTGGCATATCCATAAATACCGGAAAGATCAAAGTTTTCTCGATCTGCATCCATAACTAGGAGAATGCACTCCTGGCCGTCAACTTTAAGTAAAGAACTTTAAATACATCGAGGCGAGGCTGCTACGGCATGGGCAAACTAAGGAAGACATTGTTCTCAGGATCGATGTTGTTAGCCTAGAAAAAGAAATTTGCGAACAGAATATGTAGATTGGAATGTAGATTGCTCATTTCTGGCTTATTGGCCGCTATCAGTCAACAATACTGAACTTCAGGTGTTCCAATCCCTGAAGCTCGACCCCGTGGCCTTGTTGGTTAAAAGTCTAACGCCCTAACCAGTGAGTTTCCGGTCTTACGACACCCGGTTGGTTGGTTGATAAGCCAGAAATGGCCATCCCAGGCTTCCTTGTTTTTGTCTGTAATGTCCTCCTGCGCATAACGCGTTAACAGGTATCGGCGTCTTTTGCTAGTTTATATGTTATAATCGCGTGAAATTGTTTATTCTGAATACTTTGAAATAATTGTACGGGTTACTGACTTCTTCAACTTAATAAAACCCCTTCCCAACTCTACTGCTTCTCCTGCAGAGCTACAGACGTCGAGGAGGACTGCTTGCGTACAGACGTTGGAAATGTTTTCGCTTGGGGTCTAAATGACAAGGAGCAACTTGGCGGTCCACGCGGCTCAAAGGTCAAGCTGCCCCAATTCAACACCGCACTCAGTGTCCTCAGGCCTGTGCAAATAGTTGGCGGTTCCAAGTGTCTCTTTGTTGTCACTGAGGTACTCTCACTACCATATACCCTTACTTGGTAACGTAATGGGTTTCTGTATTTTGTATTTTTCCTCTCGTGGCTCTTCTGTATGAAACTTCTCTCCTGATATAAAACCTAACACAACATTTCGGGAGAAAATATTCTTTCTTAATTGAACAAATAACGGAGCGTTTTATATACAGTAGATCGCCTAACTAATGGAGTGTGAAGATTGAAATTTGAGTGGAAGATTTAATACACATTTGCGTTTGTTTATTTTGTTCACTTAATTGACTTGAGGCGCAAAATGCTGTTTGCTAGAAAGGACTTCGGTTCAGATCAGTATATGAAGGGAAATAGGCGCAGAATTTGAAAATATCCAAAGAATTTCCTACGCTAACTTCCTGATTATGTGCATTGTACTTTAAAAGAACCTTAATATAAGTCAGAAAAGTTTTAATTATATCGTTTTAGAGAACGAAAAATTTCGTTTATTCGTGAAATTGTGGTAAATGCGACTATGAAAAATGGCATCATTTTGGGTAAAACGAGAACGAATTCAGACTTAAAAAATCTGTTTGCAAATCTGGTACGTTTTGCGTCATAAAATTAAGTAATAAACCTGTTTAGCTATATTTTATTACAACGAAATTAAGGAGCGTAATCAAGCATAGATATGAACAGCCTCAAAAGGCCATCACGTTTCTCTGTCACACCGTAAACGAACCCTGTCTAAATGAATATGGAAAGTTGAAGTGGAGCGGGCAGAAGACAGACAATCCCCTGTACTTAGGATAGTAGATTGCTTGGTAATTTCCGGTATTTCCGGCGTTTAATCATCACCTTATTGATAACTTGGTCCCAATTACAACAAGTCCTCCTAGCTTGGATGCTATTAGTTTTGCCGACACTGGTGTTGGATTCGATAATGGTGCTAGTTTTTACAGTATCAGCTTTATTCGATCTTTTTGTTTTGCGCCGCCCTCGATTGTTCAGATTTCATCCTGTTTTGTTGTTGCTTTCCTTTCCAGGAGGGTGATGTGTATGCCTGCGGAGATACCTCTGGTGGCAAACTGGGTCTGGGATCGCCCAGTCAGCTGGCGGCGACC